CACAACCACCTATATTTTTATCTGACCACCCACAGCTGATTAGTCAGTGGTGGTGGTTCCCAAAGTGGGGTTCCTGTGTCAACAGTACCACCTGGAACTTGTTGGAAACATCTACGTTCTGGCTCCAGCCTACCCCAGGCTCTGACCCGCCCTCCAGGGTGCTAAGTCTGGCCCTGCCTTTGAGAGGTCCCAAGTTCTCCCCATGCTGACACTCAGTGTGAATTGTTTTTGAAAAAAGAAATGTGTGCATCTCAGTTCTGCTCCACGGAAAGAAAAGCAATAACCACGGTGGAGAGCGTGTAGGCTGAAATGGGCATTCTAGATGAGAAGGCTGGGATCCCTTCAAACGATCAATGAAAGGAAAAATGGCAAATGATGCCCCTCTGTGGGGGAGGACATGCGAGGGCAGGGACGAGGCTGGGAATAGTGAATCATGCGAGGCTGGGGTGACAGACAGCCATCAAGACATGGGGGATATGATCCGTGGCAATCAAAGAACAGTGGGCCTGGGAACTGAGGGTCCCTGAGCACTTGAAGAGCAATGAGTGGCTATGCTTTGCCCAAGGGCTCAAAGGGAATGAGGGTGCCTGATAGGGAATGCCCCCTAAGGTTAAAGCACAAGTTGGTCTGTCAAAGAGCCAGGCTGTGGCTTCTGTGGATAGTCAAGACAAAGGAGTTCTCCTGGGCATAACAGGAGAGGGGGGCTCCCTAAGCAGCCAGCTTCTAGTCACAACTAAAGCCTGTCTTTCTTAAAGAACAGAGGGAGGGAGGAAGGGCGGGAGGGCCAGAGAAAGTCAGAGAGAGAGAGAGAGAGAGAGAGAGAGAGAGAGAGAGAGAGAGAGAGAGAATCCTTGTCGGAAGTGCACAAGCAAGGGAAGAGACCTTTATAAAACCACGCTGTTACAAGTTTAAAATGTGAAGAACAGCTCCAGATCTAGCAGTGAGGGATCTATGAGCCATCCCTCACAACCACACATGTCCGCGGGGGCGGCCATCCACACTCAGCTATTAAAACTCATCCTTTGACAGGGGTGACTCACACCTGCCCCCGGTCCCCATTCATCGGATGGGGCGGAGCTCATTCTAACAAGCTCCCAAAGGGACACTGAGGCAGATGGTCCCTGAACCACAGAGTCATTTGTCACTACAGGAGAAGAATCAGAATAGAGATGGGCACTGAGCCACGGCATATACATCACAAGCTTCAGCAGGGAGAGGCGTGGTGTGAAACCAAAATGTGCCACCCACTGAGGCCCTGGTTTTGGTTTGTCCCTATAGCATAAGGGAGTCCGCAGTCAATGGGAAGTGTATTATATAAGCTACTTTTCTCTAAGAACTTGTCGCTTATAAGTAAGACCCATATAAGAATCAACACTCCATCCCAAAGCACTGCCATGAGGTGCAGCCAGGAGCCTTCTGACCCTTTCTGTAGGGCAAAGGGGGGACTCCTGGTGCTGCAGCCCACTGGCTATAGGGCACCAGGTCCTTGGTGTGAAGGCCCAGAAGGGAAATAGCCAATGTCCAACCTAGATACAGTTGTAGCCCTCAGGAAAGCTTTCCTCTGGCCAGACACATGAATGGAGATGCTGGGTCTCAGTCCACCTCTAACTCCTTGCTGGAAAGACCCAGAATGACAATACTTCTTGTATGGGGTCTCGTCTACGAATCTCAGACTACCCTCTTTGCAAGGCTTCTGCCTCTCCTCTCCCAAGTTCTTGGCAGACCTGGATAATAAGCTAATTGTAACAAAAATGTTAAAGGATAATTGTGTCTGGGGGCATTTCTCATACTCGTGACTACAGAAAACTTGTATGTAAATATGACAAAGCCACTGCATGTCCTACCCATGACTCTGTTTATGAAGTCAGCTTCAGGTCAACTCATAGCCAGAGGCCACCAATATAGCAGAGGGTAGATTGTAAGTCACAAAAGATGAACCCCTGAATCCTCACCGCCTCTCTCTAGCACCCAGCAGGGCAGTGATCCTGAACAGATTCTCCAAGAATCAGAACTGAATTAAGGGGTGCTGGTGCCTGATGGGAAACCACATCACCCTCTCATCCTGGTACAACGTCTGAAACACAGAAGTTACCAAGGTGCCTGGTAAGATCTGGTCCCCTGGACTCCACCCGAGACTCAGTACCTCAGATACTGTGGGATCTGCCTACATTTGTCGCAGGTACCAAGGGACATTACACATATGAAATATGAGACCAACAGCCTTCTCCTCACGGGAGCTTGCGGGCACCCACACGAAAGGATGTAATTAAAGCAAAAGAGTTTGGAACAGCCGCAAACACAATAGAGTTGGCAGCTTCTTCCCCTCTGTTCCAGCTAGGGCCCTTGGATGTGTGGATATACGCTATCTGTGGAAGGTGGAAAGATAAAGGACCAGGGCGGAGGATGATCCAGAATAGCTGCAAACTCCCAGAGACTTCAGAAGGTGGGCCACGCTAATGTCCCAGATGATGGAGTGCTGGACCTGTTAGCGGGCCATCATTCAAGGAAGCTCAACCCAGAGCAAAGGGCTAGTGGCTCCACGCCACTGGAGAAGGCAGCACAAGGGGAGAGAGACTCCCTCTGTGCTTCACACTGCTGTCTGGCAGTCAGTCAGTCCTCCCTCATGCCCCTCCTTGCTCTTGAGGAAGCTGCAGGCCTGGTAGAGGGTATCAGGGGCTCAGCTACTGGGCTCCCACCCAGGCTCCTGCGCCTGTACCCGGAGAGCCTAAGAGGTTTCCCGTTGCCTCCCTTCCCACATCGACAGGGGGATCCTGCCACTGCTGGCAGCTGTCACAGGAACATCAAATGCGGATGTTTATGCCAAGCCTCATTTACACAAGCTACTTCTCCCCCAAGAGATGAATGTTTCAAACAAACAGCACTTCCATATGCTAGAGGCACGGTGCAGCAGCACTGGGGATCCCCAGACGGAAACATGAGTCAGGCTGGGGCAGACGCCTAAATAAATCATGTTAGGGTGAAATTCCTCTCTGGAGCAGGAGGAACCTCTAAGTGATGACAAGCTCTCCCCAATGGAGCATGCTCAGAATGGTCCAGACCCCACACTTAGCATCATCACTGATGAACTTGCCTCATGGTCCAGCCAGCTGCTGCACCATCCGCATCCCAGCAGCCCTGTTCACACATGCGCACACACTCACTCCATCAGGGCCATCTGAGGGCCCTGCACATTGGGCACAGATTGTTGTGTGCCCAGAAAGTATTTCCTGAAGCCCCTGAGGCTTGGGGATCTGATCCCTCAAAGATGAAGATGCTGCCTGCAGATACATACAAAGGTGTTTGAGAAAAGAGGAGGTACGGAACCGGAACACACAGGTTGCCCAAGGACACAGGCCACTGAGGGCTCTGCTAAGGAGCCATCTGGCTACCGAGGAAGTCTTAGCATAGGAAGCTGAAGTCACCCAGGTCACGGCCTCCTCCTTTAATTCTGCTTCCGGAGACTGTAGGAGGGAGGAAATCGACCATCTAATGTGAGCCGCACACAGTCTGCATTGCTTCCCAGACAGAGAAAGGAGCTGGCAAGACAGCAGTCACAGGATGGGGCTGTAACTGCATTTAGGACCCACCAAGGTCTGGATGTTGGGGCTCCCCCTCCCCTAAAAGTCATAGTTTGAAGCCTAATTCCCCATGTAGCAGTATCAAGAGGCTGAACCTGTAGGAGAGGATACAGTCATGAGAACTCGACCACCCTGAATGGGATTAATGACTTTATAAGTGAAGCTCCAGGCTAGCCTGGGCAACAGTGTCAGTCCAAGGTAAGCCTGGTCTAAACACAGAGACTTTATAAAGAAATTAAACACAGAAGCATGAGAGGAGGTGGGCTGTCACAGCCACCAAATAAGCACACAGCTAGAAGCCATGCTCCATCTACAAGGAACATCCCTCAGCAACCCTGGCTGTTGCCTACTCCATCTTGGACTTTCCAGTCCCTAGAACTGTGCGAGTTACGTTTCCATGGTGACCTAGTCTTGGTCATTTTGTGACAGCATCCTGACTACATCGAAGCAGGACACGATAAAGAAATGAAGGTCATCACCTATGTGAGTGACCCCAGCAGGGAAGGCATCTCCCATCATGCCTTGTGTTGGTGTGGTGAGCTTCACCTGGAAATCCGACGGAAGGAAAAGCAGCCCTCAGGTGGCCCCCTCTCTGGTCACTATACAACCACAAGCAAAAGCTGTGAGTGAGACCCCTGAGAGGTGCTGGCCCTCTGGGGATGATCCCTGTGTTCAGGGTGTGAGAATTCTTCAGCTGCTTTCCGGAATGTAGATCTGGTGTGGTGGCCACGGCTGTAGATGTCCAGCAGTGTACGAGGGACTCTCTTTCTCTCTTTCTGTATATAACAGCACGGGGGATTGGATGCCCCCAGCCCTCTTTACATTACAGGATCTCACTAAGTGGCTCAGGCTGGCCATGAACTCAACCTGTAGCCCAGAGCGACCTTAAACTTGCAAGCTTCCTTCTTCAGCATCCCATGTAGCTAGGATGGCAGGCCTAGCTGTAGTTAGGTCTTTATAAGCCATCACAGGCCCCACCTGAGCATCTGTGGCTGGGCATTCCCAAATGAAAAGGTATCTAATAACGGACATGGGTTTGAGGTCAAGTTTACACGGCCCTGATGTGAGAGACGAAGGCAGTAGTAACAGTCGCTAAGAGTCAAAGACAGGAGGTGTGAATTATGTGTTTCCCCAGGTTGAAAGAAAAATCAGACCAAGGGACTAGACAGGTGGCTTGGCTGGTAGAGTGCTTGCTTAACATGCAATTATGCCCTGTGTCCTGCCTCTACCTAAGCCTGCCTGTAGTGCCAACACTCAGGAGAAAGAGGTAGGAGATAAGGAGGTTAAAAGCCACTCTAGAATATTTAGTAAGTTTGAGGCCAACCTGGGCTACCTCAGATCCTCTTTCAAACAACAACAACAACAACAAAACTACTGGCGACAGCCAAAGCCAACCCCAAAAGAGAGAGAAAAGCCACAAACCGACTCCGTTCTCCACCAGCGCAGAGTGGGTCCCATCACAGTCGCTGGCATCCTGTTCTCCGACCTGGTCACCCAAATCCAAATCCAGCTGATGGGACCCATTCCCAAAGTGCGCCTCTTCCTTCTCAGAACCAGCGTCTCCGTTCTCTAAGCCATTCTGAGCCTTCTTCAGGGGCATGATTTGCAAGCCACTGGGAGTAGTCCTATAGGACACAGTCTTAGTGGCCCCAGGGGCCTTCCCTGAAGACCCCTTCTTGGGCCTGGACAGGGGAGAGTTGATGCGTTTCCGCTTGTGGGAAGCTGACTTGCTTTTCCCGGGCTCCAGGGGCCTGTGGGGGAGCCTCTCCACTGGCGGGCTGCGGGTGTCACGGAGGAGCTTGGAGGCTGCAGCCTGCTTTCCTGACTTCACTTTCTTGTCCTTGGACACATGCAGCCCGTTGAACTCATCAATAAACTCCTCACAGTGCAGGAGGTGATGTTCTGGCTCCCATGTGTCCTCGGAGCTGCCGTAGCCTTTCCATCGGATGAGATATTCCCATTTCCCCTTCTTGTTCTTCCTCTTGTCCACAATCCTTTCGACCTGAGAAGGCAAGACAAGAGAGTGAGAAGCAGGACATCGCCATCCTCGTTCCAAAGCGCCTCAGGCCATTGTAGGTCCAGCTACTGATGGACAGGCGGACACCGAGTTCCCGCTAACGCTGGCCGGAAGAGCCCCCAACACCCATGCTAGAGCTTTTAGAGTGGGAAAATATTAACAGTAAAGCTGGCCTGATCCTCTGCAGACATGTTAAGGCCACGCACTCGAGAAGCTTTAAGACAGACAAGGAGGCAAATGTAGAGATGAAGCCGTGCGGAGCTCTTGTTGAGAAACAGACAAGCATTAGGTGTGGCAGGTGACATGTAATATTGGACCTCCCAGATGACGTGGCTTTCAATGAGAGCCTTGGGTTCAGGTTTATAAAAAATTTAAAAAAAAATAAACTGTACCATGCACTCTGCAAAACACTTGCACTTTATCTGGGTGGCTGTCCAGCCTCACGAGGTCATAAAACAAACTGCACAGCCTTTGCTCTCTGAGGCTCCGGTACTTGCTATTTCGAGTGAGGGTCTTCAATCCAGTCAATCCCAGGCAGCGAGTGCTAGGGAGAGAGCTGGCTTGTTTGAGAACGTGGCTGAAAGGCTGGGGTTTTAGTCTAGCCTCAGAACACCTGCCATGCAGACCAGAGGCTCTGGGTTGGACTCCGAAGCCCTGGCCCTCCCCCTCCAAACTAAAGCATCACAGTCATGGCGGTCCATGGTGCCTCTTCAGGCTATATCCTCCGGGTAGCATCCCACATCCACCTTTACTCCCTCTTGTTGACATAGCACTATGGGGTTTCTCTAGAGATTCTTGTTTTCGGGGTTGCAAAGTAGACTTTGAAAGCTCCATCTGACGAGGATGTCTACTCTTAAAAAATAAGTAATCGTAATTGAGCAATAATACATATGACATCATGGTATAGGAGTCCCTTCTGTTTGTGTTGCTTTCATTGGTTAATTAATAAAGAAACTGCCTTGGCCTAGTTGATAGGTTGGAACTTAGGTAGGCAGAGGAGACAGAACTGAATTATGGGAGGAAGAAATCAGAGTCACAGAGAAACCATGGATCCTCCACCTGAGACAGACGCTAGTTAGAATCTTTCCCGGTAAGCCACTGCCATGTGGCAATACCGATTAATAAAAGATGGGTTAAATCAAGATGTAAGAGTTAGCCAATAGGAAGTTAGAGCTAATGGGCCATGTACTGTTTTAATTAATACAGTTTCTGTGTGGTTATTTCGGGGTATAAGCTAGCCGGGCGGCCAGGACGAACAAGCAGGCCCCTCCATGCAACAGCATCATACTAATTTGTCTTTGTGATACCATTGCTATTTTATATAATTATAAAATATAATTATAAAAGATTATATAATAAATCTTTTTTTAAAAGATTTTTGTATTTATACATATGTGTGGGGGTAGTGCATGTGTGGAGCACATGGGGAGGCTAGCGGAGGTGTAGCTGAGCTGAAATCACAGGTGGAAGTGAGCAATGGGACCTAGGTGTTAAGAACCAAACTCATAAAGGCTGAGCCATCTCTTCAGACCCTGTAAAATAAATCTAACGCATAGCTTTCATTAACCTATACGAGGCATTTCTAGGGTGGACGCTGTACGGAACAGGGGCCTGAGCACCTACTTGCCCATCACATTTTCTCCTGACCTCCCAATAAAGTAACAATCTTCAGCCAGGCATTGGTGGCACACGCCTTTAATTCCAGCACTCAGGAGGCAGGAAGATCTTTGTGAGTTCGAGGCCAGTCTGATCTACAAGAGCTAGTTTCCAGGACAAAGAAGCCCTGTCTTGAAAAAACAAACAAACAAACAAACAAACAAAAAACCTTCTCTGTCTCTACTTTACAATGAGGACACTAAGGCACAGAGACAAGTAAGTCACTTACATCCCAGAGCTGCTAAGGGAAGACCCGGGGTTAGAACAACTCTCATCCCAAATGTTTTCTCTCAATCCCCAGATAAGGCTGGCCTTCTCAGGGGCAAGAATCTTTCCCACTGGACAAAGAGTATTTGCATCCACCCAGCCAGGTTCTCCCTAGTGCAGCCTCCTCACTGCCACACAGAAGTGCAACATGGAGGCAGAGAGACGAGTACAGCACTTGTTGAGAGACTGCCAGATGCCGGGCATACGGCCCTGGGAAACACTGTTATTCTCCCGCCTGCCAGGTGAAGAGACTAGCTGTACTGGCTAGGGCTTCTATTGCTGTGATAAAACATTTCAACCTAAAGAAACTTGGGAAAGAAACTTGGTTTGTTTCAGATTACAACTCTCATGTCCCACATCATCACTGAGGAACATCAGGGCAGGAACTCAAGGCAGGAACTGAAGCAACGGCCATGGAGGAATGCTGCTTACTGGCAGCAATTTTACCCTCTACAGCTCTCCCAGCCTGCTTTCCGGTACAACTCAAACCCATCTACCCAGAGTTGGTACCGCCCACAGTGGGCTGGGCCCTCCCACCTCAATTATTAATCAAGTACATGCCCTACAGATGTGCCTATATTCCAGTCTTAAGGGGGGTATTTTCTCAATTCAGACGCCTTTTTCCTATCCATATCTAGGGATGGGTCAAACAACTAGCACACGGTACATAAAGCACTTGCCCAGGAGCACAAGCCAGGCCATAGTAGGGGTGGGTCTGAATCTATTGCCTATATTTAAGCCACGTTCTACTATCTAGAAAAATACCCCCTTATATTCCACAAATAAACACATTCAGGGAAATGCTGGGTCTGTGCTGATAGCTGATGTGTTAAAGTGAAGGGCCGTTTTTATTTTTTAAAAAAATTAAACATTTATTTATTTATTTATTTATTTATTTATTTATTTATGTGGGGTGCATATGCCACTCTGCACATGTAGCGATCAGAAGGCAGCCTGCAGGAATTAATTTTTCTTCCAACACATGGGATCCAGGGATCAAACTTGAGTCATCAGATTGGTGGCAAGTGCCTTTGCCTGCTGAGTCAACTCAAGTGACCTAAGCCAGGGTACTTTTGGAGATCATTTACTATTCCTTCAACCTCATTATCCACTTGAATTTGGATTTGTCAGTGGCAGCTGGTCAAGGTGCAAAGAATGAGTGTCTACAGAGTACTGGGCTCTAAATGAGACACCTGTATCATACTTCCTCCCACTAAGGCTCAAGTATCATCACGGAAGAGGGGACAGAAGTTAAGAGCCAGAGATTGGAGGAGAACTTGAGAGAAACAATGCCCTCTAGACACAACTGTTGGGGGAAGGGTCACTTGTTCTTCCCGGCATCCCAGCCACTAAACAACCACTCAGAAAGCCATATTAATTGCAATACTGTTTGGCCAATAGCTCAAGCATATTTCTGGCTAAACTCATGTCCTAAACTAACCCATTTCTATTATTCTGTATATCGCCACGTGGCTGTGGCATACCAGCTAAAGTTCTCAGCATCTGTCTCAGGTGGCGGATCCATGGCTTCCCCTAACTCCACCTTCCTCCTCTCGTGCTATAGGCAAAGCCAGTTTTCTTTATCCACTAAATAAAATCAACACATACACAAAAGGACCACCCACACCACACGAGAGAACCACTGAGCTTATGAACTCATAGCAACTGTGACCACTCATACAAAATCAAGCCAGTCAATACTCCAGCACGGAGAGAGAGGGGGTCATAAGCCTCCCCAGCTGAGGGGCTGTTGACAGTTGACAGCTTCTGGGGAAGGCAGCTGGTTTTTTGCAAGGGTGTGACCCCTGGTAGCTTGACCCAGCTCCAATGGAAGGTCCACACCCATTTACGTACGGGTAACACAAACTGGACTCAGTAGGTTCTAAAACAGAGTGAAAAAGCACAAAGTTGGGAAGGATGGAGGATGGGAGGTGGATCTTGGAGGACTTAGGGAGATGGGGAGAAGCAGGGGTGTTCAAAATATATCTTATGATTGTATGAAATTCTAAAAAATTAATAAAAGTATATATCATTTGTAAAATGTGCTGTTGCATGCCTAGAGTCCCAGCTTTTGGGAAGTTGAGACTGGCAGATCTGTGGATTTGAGGCTAGCTTATTCTATATAAAAAGCTCTGACCTTCATCCCCCAGGCACTCAATTTTCCTGAGAATTTTTAAAACACTACATTCAAACATACTTCTTTTGTTGTTGTTGTTTCCTTTGGTGTTACTGGAGACTGGACCCAGGACCCAGGACCTCCTCGTGAAGGCTAAGTTAGTGCCCTCTCATGCAGCCATGCCCCTACCCTTCACCTGTACATTTCAATGTCCACACAATTCATTCCAGGATGAAAGTCTGATCCATTGGCACTGAACAACAAGCAAAGACAGCACTCCTGAAACTTAGGAAAGAGGATACAGAAGGGAGAGGAGGTGCAGGGAACGCAATAATGGTCGCAAAGTACTAGATCCAAGGGGCTCTTTGACATTGCGTGTTTCCAGGTTGAAGTTTCATGAACTGTGGTCATATCCCTGGGTGGTGAACATGTAACAGGGGCTAGGGAAAGTAACGAGGTGACTTTTACTGTTCTGCCTTAATAAATCCGGATCTAGCTAGGTCACACCTCCTCGTCAAAATACTGCCTCTTGGACAATTTCAACTGACTCCTTAACTTACTCATCTCTCTTGAATTTGCCTCTTTCTACTACAATTTCCTTCCTCACAAGACTGTTTTAGATGCATTAAATTAATCACTCAAACTCAATAACAGTTCATCTATTTTAAACTACACCTGGGACCAATTCATCCTGCCCCAAACCTATGGTGTCAAAGGTGCTGCCCGTCAATCATAATAACACCTCAGGAAGCTGAGAGCCTGTAGCTTTGTTTCCTTTGAGGATGTTGTGGGAAGAGACTCTGTGCAGTTGACAGACTAGGAAAAGGTAATAAGCAGCTTGGCCATGTCTAGAATGGCAGCATGCCCAAGGACACCCGACTAGACTGTCACTAGAAAATACATAGTTCTTGGGACCTAAGGGGTGTTTAACAGAATGGAGGTCTCTGTTCTAGAAAGTATAGGCTTAACTCCTATGGTGAAGGGATTCCTCCCGCAGATAAAGCAGAAGACAAGGTTACACGGTGGGTGGATACGCAGGTGGGTGGGTTGATGAATGATAAGAGGATCATGGTAGATGATGGACAAACAGATAAACAGACAGATGCAAGGGTGGATGAATGCATAGATGGATGGGAAGCTGGGGTAATGATGGGTGGTTGGGTAGATGATGAATGGGAAAACATGATTAAATGAATGGATGATGAATAGAAGGGCAAATAGATGGATGCATGGGTGGATGAAGGCATGGATGAAGGCATAAATGATAGCTGGTTGGGTAGAATGATGATGGATGATGGATGATGGAGGATGGAGGATGGATGGATGGATGGATGGATGGATAGATAGTTGGGTGGATCCATGGATGGATGACTGATGGATTAATAGGCAGTTGATAGGTAAAAGAATGGGTAGAGGGTTGAGGTCATGAAGTGATAAGCAGATGGATGGACGGCAATCACATTAAAATGAAGTCGGATAATATTAAGAATGAAGACTTTATAACAAGACCCCTATTAAACCCTATCATGTATTTCTAAACTCATTCATAAATGTCTTTAGGCCTATGGTGACTCATAGAGCAAAGAGCAAGGAGAAAGTGACTACCTGATCTCACTGGGTGACTGTGGATACCGTACAAACACGAGTTTTCC